ATTGCATTTTCAGATTCCCGCGCATTTGAACCGCTATTCATTTGACGTTGAATTGCATTGACTTCATCTAAAATAGCAACAATCGGACGGGCTGAAAATTCTATACGAGAGAGACTCTCAACTTGAACTATGATAATATCCCACTTATCTACGGACAAGTTCTGTTCATCTTGATAATTACAGATTCTGAGTCCGGATAATTTAAGATCATTAATTTTACCCATTGATTCATTACTAAGAGTTTTTCGATAAGAAATCCAGATTATGCAGGGCAAATTAGCTTTATTCTTGGTTAAGGAATTGAGATATTTTCTCAGACCTTTTGTTTTTCCCGTCATCATAGGAGAGCGAATCAAAGTTGTACTGGGTTCTTTGCACAAGAAATTGGGATAAGCTCCTGGGAAATCTTCCATTTCCTTTACATTAATAACTTCTCCAGATAATTCAGGAAGTGAACGTGGATTTAATACAGCTTTAGCAATTCTTTCATTTAATCCCAATTTAGGTTTCACTGTTGATTTAACTTTGTCTGATACCTTACCGAAACTCAGTCCCTTATGATCCGGCTTGTACTGTTTTTGGCGATAACATTTAAGTACAAAATCTCCATTTTTTCGAATAAATCCATAGAGTTGATCTTTATCATGTTTAACATCACATATAGGGCATTCTTTAACCAATTGTGCTTGAAAGTTAACAAACCCTTTCTCGATTCTTCCAATCTGGAGCCACCCATATTCTGCAATAGCTAAATTAGCTCCTTTAACCAAAGCATTTTCATCATTGATGGGCTGGGATTCTTGTTTTACTGGCTCTTCAGAAGAAAAGGTTCGGGGCCAGATTTCAGAAACATCAAACCTAGGTTGAACTAGATAATCTTCTAGCTTACGATATCCTTTCTTAACTGAAGAAATTGTAGGTCTTTTAATTCTATCACCCTTTGCCGACCCAAGAAGACGAAGACTGAAGCGAGATTTATAGAGTCCTATATCAATAAATTCTGAGTATGGCTTTCCAATCCTATTAGCAACTTTTTCCACAAAACCTTTAAGATCTCTATAGTCAATAAAACAGGCATGGGGATATACAATATGCCAGCTACATTTATTGGCATTAGACGAACTAGCTAAGGCAAAATCATTTAAAGTTATGTGGTGTTTTAAATCGGTATATATAATATCGGCACAGGCAATTAAGATCCTGGATAATAAATCTTCACGAGAAATTTTATATCTATCTAAGGAAGGGAGTTCAGAATTCATGGGATCGGGGTACTGCCTTGCATCGATGTCCAGAACTGGGTGAAGAGGTAGACTTCCATCAATACATTCGTGGGTGTCGGGTAGCCCATAAACTTTGGAAGGATGATCAACTATAGTAAACCCCTTTTCTGC